ATTGTATCAGTGTGGTTTTTTTTGGGGGGGGGGGGTTGGTGGGGGCAGGTGGAGGCAGTTTTTCTTAAGAAAAGGCACAATAAATTTCAAGAGGACTGATGTTGCTTATCTACAGTTCATAAGGGGGGCAGGATGAGGAGGAAGAAATAATACCGTTTTTAGAATTAGCAACACTTGCCCTCATTACATGGCCAGAATCCACAAAACACAAGCATTATTTTTACAGATTGTTCTGTTTACACAAAGATGACTTCAGTATTATTTTTCATAAAAACAGCAGCACCCCATTCAGCTGTCCATACAGCATGACAAACTGCTTTTGAAACTGGGAGTTGAAGGAACAGCATGTGATATAGTATAGGGTCAGCAAGGTGAAAAGTTCCACAGAGTCTATAGGCTATAGGCCATGCCTGAAGTAGCTCCTAGGATCCCAGCCAATGCATTTTGGATTGGACAATTAGATTGACTGATTCCTATGAAGGTCAAAGGGAAACCATCCAAATTGCTTTACAAATACAAAGATGGCAATCAAAACATATTATTAAAGAATAAAAATGTCAGGCAATCCTTAGGTATAAAAAGACATGAGATCTCTTGCAAGGCACCATTTCTTAATTATGTGTTATCTTTGGAAGACTTCCAGTTTCAAAATATGATTTGTACTAGATGTTAACTCAAGGGCATTCAAACATGTCTACAACCACAAAAAATTAAGTATATTTTTGAAAAACTCTTTAGATGTTTGTCAGATCGACTGGATATGATGACGACGCACAATTTAAACTGGCTATAGCGAATTCAATACATGATACCAATCATTGAAATGACTCAAAATATTTAATAAGACCATTATCCAAATTATTCCCTCTCTTTGAGACTATCCTATATGTTTCTAAACTCCAAAGTATGTATATTACCTAGACAAAATATGTTTCTTCTTGTTCAAAATATAAAATTATACGGGGTATGTATTATATAAACAATGGGCTCTGTAAATACAGAAATTGAGTTCCTTAGCTATATACAGAAATCCGGTTAATATTATTTACATCACAACTAGTCAAGTGTTTAAGACTTTCCCACTCTGGAAGATAAATGGAAATGATCAGAGGATAATAAGAATAATAATCACAATAATAATAATAACTACTACTACTACTACTACTACTACTTCTTTATTCTTATACCCTGCCATTATCTCCCTGAAGGGGCTCAGGGCAGCTTACAAATGGGACAAGATGTTCACAAGACATAAAAAGCCAAAACAAACCATAAAACACAACATATTAAAATAGGAGCGTCATAAAATACAACAGCCAAGATAAAACAGACTAGACCTAACAGAATAGAACAGATTACAGTGGAGCTTCATCAGACCAGGTTCTACAAAAACAATGACCAAGATTTCTAAAATGGGCATGACACAGCTATAAAAGTGCTAGGCAAGAGATGGTACAAACAGAGGAAAAATAAAGTTATCTAAAAGAATACAAATTACCATAGAAGCTCATACTTCCTAACCTCTATGATTCTCAGTACAGAATCTACTACACATAGAAATACCAAAGTAATCTTGATGTCTAGCTAAATCTCAACAAAAGCAAAGATGTATTGGTTCAGATTTTGCAGATTTAATTAAAGATTCTAAAGACAAAGTTTTATTTCAGCAGTTACTAGTTTGAGCTTCAGCATAAGGTGCGGAGAGGTGGAAATGTGGATCTAGAGAGAAAATTTTAACTGTGTCACAAGGAAAGATATGAGCATGTAGCAGCATTGCGTGAGAAAATTCAGCCATCCAAGGTCATATTGAGAAAAATTCTGCAGCATCTTTAAATAATAAAACAGAAGACATCTTCTTTTTTTGCTCACAAAGCCTATAACGTTATTATTTTGACAACTATAACCCCATGGTACTTCAATTAATTCTATAGCTGTCCTACATCTCTATTAGTAAGCACAAGGCACATAATAAAATTAAAATTGTATAAAACAGTTACAATCAACACTTCAAATGTAGCATGTGCATAAGCATCATGTGTCTATCAGAAACTAGTAGGATTAATTTTTTGCTTTTAAAAGCTGGTATTCCTAAAATAGCATACCAGCCATTAGGTGGTCATTTATTTATTTATTTACAGTATTTATATGCCCCTTTTCTCACCCCTTGGGGGACTCAAAGTGGTTTACATAAAAATAACGGCAAATTCAATGTCTTACATGCATAAACCTAAACCCAATCAACAACATATAACTAGCATAAAATCAATAGGGCAATTCACCATAAGATAAGATAAAAGGACATTTACAACATGAAATATAAGAATTAAAATACCTAATAAAAGCATTAAAATCACATTATCCAGCTTGTAGACTGGGCCATTCCAAATGTCGATTGCACATAAACCATAAACTCTTCCTTGAAATAGCTGTACCACCCTAGGAATTTGTTGACACATGATCTAGTCATCTCAGTAAGACTTCAAGTCCTATTTTGGATCCAGAACTGCCTTGATCATCCTTCTTAATTATTGTTGTCAAGAGGAGAACTGGGGATATACCTCCTAATCCATCAGTATCTCTATTTATTTATTTACAGCATTTGTAGCCTGCCTTTCTCAGCCTTATGGTGACTCAAGGCGGCTGATGACCCAACAAGTTACATACAGAAGGTGAGACTAATGTTTTGTCCTGTGGAATTAATGCTATTGAAAGGGACAAAGAACCTGATTTAATTTGATTTAATTTGATTTCCTCTGATTAATAAATACCAATAGTATGATTACTATTGTAGTGCCTCCCAGATCTATCTGAATACCCAAGGACAACAGATCCTGTCTGATCTTGGAAGCTAAACAAGGTCACATCTGGTTAGTACATGGAAGGGAAACTGCTAATGAATACCAGGTGTTGTAGGCTATATTTCAGGGAAAGGGATTGGCAAATCCACCTCTAAGTACTGCTTACCTAAGAAACATATGTCAGCAGGCAACTTGAAGGAACACAAACACTGCTTCTCACCTGCCTGATGTGAGGGATCAAGATTTTTTTCCCAATGTGCCAGGGTCCAGTACCATAATTGTGTCCATTGTCTATAACTTTTTCCCTCCTAGATGCTCTGGACCAGAAGCTAATGGCTCTAGGACTGGCACCAGTCCAGTGACCAGCACGTTGAGTAGGTCTGTGTGACAGGATACCACAGAGTTGTTGGCCAGTGCATGAAACCTCTGAATGAAGCCATTCAGGGGTTCATTAGAATGAGATATCATTAAAAAGATATAGATACCCTTGCCCACTTCACATTTTCATCTAATGTAGGTAAGTTGATGCATGCTGAACAGAGGTATGGAGACACCAAAACTAAAGCACAGTAAGACAGAGGTTTGTGTGTTTGGGAGCAGGGTGGGGGGGGGGGGCTCATCTTACCAAGAATGTACAGGTTGAATATTCCTTATCTGGAATTCTAAAATATGCAAAAACCCAAAATAGTCCACATGGGTGGCAGAGAAAGTGACAGCTTTGATTTTTGATGGCTTAATGTACACAAACATTGTTTCGTACATAAAATTATTAAAATATTGTATAATATAAAATATTGTATAATTGTATAATTATTAAAATATTGTCTGGCTAAGTGTATAAGATATAAGAAACAAAAATGAATGTCGATCCAAAAATTTTGGATTGTGTGTGTGTGTCTGTAAGATTTTGGATAAGAGGCATTGCTCTTATGTAATTGAGTTGTCTTTCTTTTAAACCTTTCAATATATTTTGAATTAAATTAATTTTATATATATATATATATATAGAGAGAGAGAGAGAGAGAGAGAGAGAATTAAATCACTTTAATATGTAATTTAAAGTATGACCATTTTTTGTTTCAAGGTGGTAAAAATCATGATAAAAATAAAAGTGATCTAAAATGGCATGATGTAGTTCCACCACTGAAGCTAAATTTGAGCTTGGCTGGTCCAAAATGGCAAACTGCTCAATTATCCTACCTATACTACTTTTTTCTCTTTAGAAGAAAGCAAAGGTACATACGTTATACCTTTAAAAAACAAAACAAAACGAAATGAAATGAAAGAGGAGCTGAAATTAAAATCTGATGTTATTTAGAACAGGACTCTACAACTACTAGCTAATGAGTCCTTCACCTAAATACCACTACAAGTTTTTAATGCATTTTCTGGGTCCCCAAGGCTTAACTCTCCCCAACTACTGCCCTATATGATTGAAATAATACTGTAAGTCCTACTTCAAAACAGAGAAAATTGCAGTCTTATGGACCATGCAATTCAGAGTAATTGTTTGACTGGAGGGAAAAGAATTGTTTATTTGGGAAGCAATTATAATACTAGGTAGAAATGTTTTTGTTGGCACACATAAACTGTTATAAGGGCTGGAGGCAATGGTTATAAATCCAGATATTGGAAGATTAGAAAAGAGCTTGTTAATAATCAAAATATATAGTTTTAAATGTTTGTTTGCCTTCTCCTTTTCCTTTGCTCTTTCCTCATGTGGGATATAGTGTAACACGCTGCTATTGCTTTTTCGATAAGAGTTTTCACACAGAGCAGAACCTGAACTTTTCACAATGTTCAAAGACACTACAAATGATGAAAGCATACTTTTATACATCACTGATATGGTCTGGTCGAACACCATTGGAATGACCTGATCAGGCAGCCTTTAATACCATGACCCTTCCTGCATAATGGAAAAAGACTCTATTACATTCAGAGCCTCTGCTGATTTCAACAGAAGAGATTTAAGCCATCATTAAATCTGTTTAATTTAATAAACTTTAAAATGGATTGATTGCAGATATATTGGGTTCAATGTAGTAGAGATGCTAAATAAAATTGAGATAGTAGACTACCTGAGATCAGCTACTTCAGACTCCTTGTAAGAAGATGAAGGGAGGGAATCCCACAGGATGAAAAGGAAAAGCATTGGGTATGATTGTCTCCCACCTTAAAAAACAACACACCATATTTTACCTGCACAAGTAGCCTTTCAAAGGCTAGGAAGTTGTCCCATTTAGCACTTTGAGGGTGTTTCATTGTCTGTACGACAGCCAATGCAATTTGTAGAAACCCACAGTGGTTCTCAAGAGCTTGAAAATTTCTTTTAAAGAGTTGAATGTATGAGCTGAGCTGTTCTGGGGTGACCCTACCTGTGAAAAAAAAATTATACATTGTAGGCACTTCTCAACAGTATACAAACAAACAAAAGCAATAAATGTGATTCATGATCAGCAAGATAGAACAAGACATTTCCAATGTATTGAATCCCTTCTTCTAGAATCACAAAATCAAAGAGTTGGGAGACACGAAGGCCATCCAAATTGAGTTTTTAAAGAGACACAGCAATAACTGTTAGCATCCCAAAGATTTGTGACTGGAGGAAAATCGTTATTAGTGTTATTTCACATCCTTTAAACTTCGTATGTGTCTGACTTGGTAGAGTCAGTATCTGTTTTCATATTTACAGAAAAGGAAGATGTTCTTTTGGACTTATCTAGTGCCCCCAACATCATGACGATTATTATCTTTTGATCTTATACATTCAGAACTCAAACTTTTAAAGAAAATTCAGTGTGAAACATCAAGCCCATATGAAAGGTCAACAAAATATCATATATATCAAACTGACTAAACTTTTGCATGGGTAAAAGCTAACAAAAGGGCCCAACATTCAGCCCACAAATGCTTAAGAAGCAACCAGAGCCACATGTGTTTTGAGACTAAACATTTGAACTTCCGGTCATGCTTTATTTCTTTTAGAGCTATGTCAAGTACATTGACATGGTGATTTGAAAATGTCAACTCTTATGTCTTGCACTGACTGTTTTTCCCCCTCTTTAAATCCTGGCAGTGATGATATATGGCATCTTACTCAAAATCTATTTTGTTAATAAACACACTTGCACACAGTACTACCATAAAGAGAGAGATCTTCTTTTCCTTTCCTTTCAAAACATTGTTTTTAGAGAAAGTATAAAATACTTTTGCTGTTATCATATGCCTTCAAATAATTTCTGACTAATGGTGACCCTAAGGTGAACCTATCATTGGCAAAATTTGTTCAGAGTGGAGTTGCCCTTGCCTGTCTCAGAGGGTGAGAGAGCATGACTTGTACAAGATCACTTAGGGGGAATTCTATGACTAAATGGGGAGACAAACTTTGGTCTCCTAGTGTTCCAGTCCAACCCCATACCATACTGGCTGTGAAGTAAAATAACTTGCAATAAAAAAACCCTTCTCTCACACGAACAATTTTTATTGATTAACCAGTTGGCCTTATCAAAAACAGACAGTGCAAACACAACATACAACATACATCTAGACCTCTTAAAACAAAATACAAATATACAGGTATTTGTCAGCTTGAAACCAATGTAGCTTAGCTGTAGACATATGCATCAACTATCGTCGTCTCCCCTACACTGCACCCCAATCTGATCTATCTCCTTTTAGCAGCTTTAAACAAATAAAGGGCAACTTTTGTTGTCAGAATGGGATTGTAACTGACCAACAAAAATGAGGTTTTGGTCGCTGTATCCCAGCTTGATTTATTGCAAATTAAAGGCCATAAGTATTTTTTCCTTTCTTTTTCATATAGATTGCAGTTATGTAAAGTGTGATTCAGATTTTCGACTTTGGGGGCGCCACAGATACATCGTCTTTCTTCATGTAGGATATGATTGAATCTGCCATGTCTCTCCATGGACTCAATTTGTTCAAATCGGGCCCTGGTAAAAGCGAGTCTTAGGTGTCTTGACATATCAGCTTTTATATATGGTGCCCGCTGGAAATTATGTTTAAAGTGTTCTAACCACTTCAAAGATTCTGTGTTTGACAGGATGGCTATATCTTTCTGGGCTTCAATATCTAGGATCCTTTGAATTACTCTCCTTTTTTCAGCATCCCTATTCTGGCCTAAGGAGGCAATTTGTAATCCGCAGGTGCAGAGGAACCTTGTTAATTATTCAGACCAGGAAGCTTGGTTTTGACCATCAGATTGTTCTAAAAAGCACAATTTTGGATCTGAATTTATCCATGCTGGGGAGAATATCTGTCGTAAAGATAAATATATTGTCGGAGGCCTTTATTAAAAATATTAAAGAAACATCCGGGCAGGGTGGACACCACGATCACACCTCTGCCCTTGGATATAGCGGAGATCAAAGGCTGATCCTAAGTGACCGAATCACTTGGTAGTATTTGCCGCCACCACCTCAGAAATATACTGGCCTGAGGAAACATAAGGGTGTGAATGTATTATAGGTAATGTGGGTTTGAGTTCTTGATCTTCTATGGCTTCCTCCCTAGCCGACTGGACTTTAAAAATGAGTCGTCGGAATAAGTTACTGAGAGAACAGACGAATTGAGGCATAAAACAGTTGAAAGTTAACTAAGAAAGAGTTTATTTTAACTTTAGAATAACAACAACTCATTGGAAATGAGTGGTACAGAATCTTGATGCAGTTGCAGTAACTTGGTTGCTTGAACAGACAGTTCCCCTGACAGAATAGCTTTAACCACTGTGAGGCTTCTATAGCAAACTGTTCTATCTTTAGACACAGTTTCTCTTAGAGCGCAGACTCCCGTCTGCCTCAACTCACTGGGCTATAAGGTATCTTTAAATCTCTCTTAAGTTTAATAAGACACAGCTCTCTTTTACTAGTCCTTTCGACGTAGTAAAACCCTAGCCTAATGTCTTCACCTTATTCCCAAACCTATAGGCTCACTAAAAGCTCTTCTTCTCCTGTCAGTTCCCTGCTGTAACTTCCTCTCTAAAAATCCACAACCTTCTCTCTCTAGTCTAAGACCCTTCTCTCCTTTGTGTCAAACTAGACAGCTGCTTTTCCTCTCTAAGCTGACTCCACCCCCAATTGCTACACCCAATCAGGAGTCAGCCTGACTCCTCCTCCTGCTCAGCTTGAATACCAAGATGCCAGACACTGCCATGCAGGCTTCGGCCTAGCCGACCAAAAGGTAGATCTATTACAGCCTTGTTCTTATTTCAAACCCTACCAATAGTGAAATCTAAAACAATGATAAAAAACTGGCACAGGGAGATAGGAAGGTTTATATGGCAGGGAAAAAAACATAGGATAAGCTTCGTAAACCTAACGGACGACAGAAATAGAGGGGGACTTGCTTTACCTAATTTCCAATTATACTATGAGGCGGCCGCCCTGGATTGGATAAGGGAGTGGACAACTCTAGAGAAGAAGAAACTACTAACCCTGGAAGGGTTCGATTTAGCCCAGGGCTGGCATGGGTATCTTTGGAGGGGAAAGGCAGAAAAGGAGAGAAACTTTAAGAACCACTCGATAAGATCTGGGCTAATCCTAGTATGGAATAGATATAAGGAAAGACTATATACAAGAACACCGCTACGGTTCTCGCCCAATGAAGCTAACCACCTAAAAGAACTACCCTGAGATAAATGGTTAGTATATAAGCAATTGTTAAAAATAAATACACAAGAAGCAATGCTCAAGTCACAGGAAGAACTAAGATTACTGGATCCAACGCTCTCGTGGTTCCATTACTTCCAAATTAGAGAGAACTTTAACATAGACAAAAAAGTAGGCTTTGAAACAAAGGAAGGATTCTGGGATAAGGTGATAAAGGCAGACACAAAGATAATAAGTAGAATATATAAACAACTACTAATATGGAGTACGGAAACAGAACAGGTAAAAGAAAATATGGTGCAGTGGGCCAGAGATGTAAATAGATCAATATCCATGGCAGAGTGGGAAGAAATATGGCAGAAGAAACTGAAATACTCATATGCAGCAGAAATGAAGGAAAACTGGTACAAGCTATTTTATAGATGGTACTTAACACCAGAAGTACTAGCAAAAATCAGTAAAGGAAGAACAGGAGGAAAGTGTTGGAAATGTGAGGAGAAAATCGGGAACTTTATCCACATGTAGTGGAAATGTAAAAGAGTTAAAGAATTCTGGCGCCAAATAGGAAAGCAAATAGAGGTTATATTACAGACAAAAATCGAGTTAAAACCGGAGGCCTTCCTATTGGGAATAACAGATAGTAAAATGGACAGGAACACAGACAAGCTTTTCTTCTACATGACAACAGCGGCAAGGACTATCCTTGCCAGAGTATGGAAAACAAAAGAGGTACCCACAAAGGAACAATGGAACTTGAAAGTCTTGGATATATTAAACATGGATAGGCTCACCGAAAGAATGGCTCAAAATGATGAGACCCATAAAAAAACGGACTGGACAAAATTTATAGATTATATTAAAAAAGAAAATGAGGAGATCGGTATTAGTGAACTTTAAGAAAATCTCAGAGGTAACTTCAAGAAGAAAACGGGGACTTAAGATGAAAAGAAAGAGGAAAAAAGGAGGAAAATAGAGGAGAGGGAAAAGAAGGAAAAAAGATGAAAGAAAACAAACAATTAAAGAAATAAAGAATACAAAATGGGGAGATCTGGTAGTCTACACATTTGTTAAGGTTTTGTGTTTTGTCTTTTTCTTAGGTTAATTTATTCTGTTCCCTTTTTTTCTTTACTTCTCTCTGCTATCTTTTACGTCTAATTACTATTGTAAAAACAAAGATGAGTATTAATAAGAAGGAGGAAAAAAAGAAGAAAGAAAAACAAAAGAAAGGGGAGAATTTAGGATATACGAAGAAAAGTACTCATGTAATGAAGGAATACACCCAATCAGGCTGCTGTCTTGTCTTTGTATGTAATGTTAAATGTTCTTTGTATATGTTGGTAATTGTCTATTTTATAATGAATTTCAATAAAAAATTTAAATAATAAAAAGCACAATTTTGGAAGTCTATTATTTTTTGAGATTTTTTATTTTAAACCAGTAATTAAAGGCCCTGATTTTGGCGAGTTCTTCAATAGAATATATTTCTAGATCTGCTCTGACTGCAGCAGCAGTCGTCTTAATGTCAACACCAAGTATATGTCTTAGAAATTTTGCTTGTGCTTGTTCCAGTATTGGTAATTTGCTTAGGCCCCAGATTTCAGCTCCATATAATATCATGGGGAAAATTTCTGCTTTGTAAACTTTGATTATCAGAGATAAAGATCCAGGATATCTATGGGATAGCAGTCTTGCCAGTGTGTTAACGAGTGCCTTAATTTTGATCGCACAAGATTGAAAGTGTGCAAGTC